AACAGTTTATTTGTTTTGATTTGTGATATTTTTAATTATAAAAGCTAATTAAAAACAATAAAACTCTTTTTTCTTTTGCTTGCTTGAGTTTTTTTTCCTCTTTATTTGCTAATTTAACTCATCATATTATTTTCGACTTTTCATTTTATTATTAATTAGTCTTATTATTTCATATATTTTTTTCCTTTTTTCCTTTTTATTAACTATTTAATTATAAATTTTTTCTTCAATATTTAAAAAGTAGCAATTAAATTGGTGATGAAGGTGCATCAGTCTTAGGTTCTGCTTTAGCAAATTGCATTAATCTCTCAAATTTGGAACTTGACTTTAGGTAAAAGCAGTTTATTTATTTTGGATTGTGATATTTTTAATTATAAAAGCTAATTTAAAAGAACAAAACTGTTTTTTCTTTTGCTTTTTATTATGCTTGCTTGCTTTTTTCTTCTTCTTTCTTTACTAATTTTATTCGTCATTTTATTTTCGAATATTGAGTTTATTATTAATTCATCTTATTATTTAATATTTTTTTTTTCGTTTTTTCTTTTTAATTAAATTTTTTTCTCCAATATTTAAAAAGTTAAAATAAAATTGGTACAATAGGCGCATCAGGCATAGGTTCTGTTTTAGCAAATTGCATTAATCTCTCAAATTTCACACTTTGCCTTTAGTAAAAACAGTTTATCTGTTTATGATTGTGATATTTTTAGTTATTAAAGCAAATTTAAAACAATAAAGCTCTTTTTTTATTTGCTTTTTACTGTGCTTGCTTTTTTTATTCTTTCTTTGTTAATTTAATACACTGATCATTTTATTTTCAATTTTTGCTTTTATTGTTAATTAATCTTATTATTATTATTTTTTTTACTTTCATTTTTTCTTTTTAATTAACTATTTAATTATATATTATTTCTTCAATATTTAAAAAGCAACAATTAAATTGGTTCAATAGGTGCATCACGCTTAGGTTATGATTTTACAAATTGCAATAATCTCTCAAATTTGACACTTAGACTTTAGTAAAAATAGTTTATTTGTTTTGGATTGTTTAATTTTTAATTATAAAAAATAATTTAAAACAATAAAGCTCTTTTTTTTTATTTCTCTTTTATAGTGCTTGCTTGATTTTTCTTCTACTTTCTTTGTTAATTTAATTCATCATTTTATTTTCAACTTTTGTTTTTATTATTATTAAATCTAAACTTTTCATATTTTTTTATCGTTTTTTCATTTTTATTAATTATTTTATTATAAATTTTTTCTTCAATATTTAAAAAGTAACAATTAAATTGGTGATGAAGATGCATCAGGCTTAGGTTCTGGTTTAGCAAATTGCACTAATCTCTCAAATTTAACACTTAGCCTTAAGTAAAAATAGATTATTTTTTTTGGATTGTTATATTTTTAATTATAAAAGCTAATTTAAAACAAAAAAGCTCTTTTTTCTTTTGCTTTTTATTGTGCTTGCTTTTTTTTATTCTTTCATTGTTAATTTAACTCATCATATTATTTTCGACTTTTCCTTTTTTATTATTAATTAATCTTATTATTTCATTTTTTTTTCATTTTTTCATTTTATTAACTATTTAATTATTATTTCTTCAATATTTAAAAAGTAACAATTAAATTGGTTCAATAGGTGCATCAGGCTTAGGTTTTGGTTTAGCAAATTGCATTAATCTCTCAAATTTGGAACTTGATCTTTAGTAAAAACAGTTTACTTGTTTTGGATTGAAATATTTTTAACTATAAAACTAATTTAAAACAATAAAGCTCTTTTTTCTTTTTCTTTTTATTTCGCTTGCTTTCTTTTTCTTATTTTTTCTTTGTTAATTTAGCTCATCATTTTATTTTCGACTATTGATTTTATTATTAATTAATCTTATTATTTCATATGTTTTTTTTTTCGTTTTTTCTTTTTAATTAACTATTTAATGATATATTTTTTCTTCAATATTTAAAAAGTGAAAATTAAGTTGGTGATAGAAGAATAGAATAGAAATACTCGCACATATAAATGCACTCAGAATACATCTTAAAATTAATTTTTATTATAATTACAAATTTATAAATTTATTTTTAAGGTATTTTAGTAATTATTACTATTTCATATGATTATTTTGAATTTTATAAAATGTTAATTTTATTTATTTTATATTTTGTATTTATAATTTGTAAAGGCATTTTCATTTTCGTAATTATTAATAAAAAATTATTATTTTGCATACACCCAGTTTCCTTTTTTTCTAAAAACCTAAAAATTTGATAAAAATAAAACGTAAAATCAATATTGAAAGTTTTTAAGTTGGTGATAAAGGTGCATCGGCTTAGGTTCCGGTTTAGCAAATTGCATCAATCTTTCAAATTTGACACTTAGACTTTAGTAAAAACAGTTTATTTGTTTTGGATTGTTATATTTTTAATTATAAAAACAAATTTAAAACAATAAAGCTCTTTTTTATTTAGTTTTTATTGTGTTTGCTTGCTTTTTCTTCTTCTTTCTTTGTTAATTTAACTCATCATTTTATTTTCGACTTTTTTTTATTATTAATTAATCTTATTTTTTTCTTCTTCATTTTTTCCTTTTTATTAACTATTTAATTATAAATTTTTTCTTCAATATTTAAAAAGTAGCAATTAAATTGGTGATGAAGGTGCATCAGGCTTAGGTTTTGGTTTAGCAAATTGCATTAATCTCTCAAATTTGGAACTTGACCTT